TGAGGCTGGGATACTGGGATGCTGTGGGGCTGGGATACTGGGATGTCGTAGAGCTGGGGTACCGGGATGCCCAGGGTCCGTGAGAGCTTCAAGCTCCCGGGTGCGACAGGCCCCGTGGGTAGCACAAGCACCTGGCAGGAGCACGGAGCTGGTGCAGCAGAAAGGGGTCCCGAAAACCACAGGAAGGGCCGGGCAGGTGCCACACACGGGGTCGCCCTGGGGTCCTTAGTTGGCAGCGCACAGAGGACGGTGACAGAAGGAGGTGCAGGGGGATGCAGGGAGCTGCACTGCCAGCAGACACTTGGAAGCCTTTTCATTCCCCCCTCCACCACCACCCTTTTAATTGAACCTCCCCGTGGCACTCGTACCGGGTGGTCGCCCCTGCGTAACCCCAGCCCTTCCCTGAGCAGGGCCTCGGTGGTTGGATTTGGGATGGGAGCCGGGAAACTCTGCACAGCCCCGAGCGGGAGTGTCACTCTTACAGCGGGCACAGAGATCCAGGGATGCGGGGGCACCGTGAGGGATGCTGTCCTGGGCAGGCTGCAGCACGCGGCTGGGGTGCAAACACACACATGTGCAAATGCAAACTGCACCTGCAAGCGTGCACATCTGCAAGCGTGCACACCTGCACGCTTGCAGCACACACACCTGCACCGTGCACCGCCAGGCCCACTCTCGCGCCCGCCTGCACCCCGGGGAGCCGCGCAGGGAGCTGCTGGCTTGGCTGTGCAGGCAGGGAGCCCCTCGGCCCCGTGCACGAGACATCTGCAGTGCGTTAGCGGGGAGTCATGTTTATCCAATTAGTTTTACACGGGCCCTAACTCAACCCTGGCGGAGGAAAAGGGCTCAGGTGGCTTCCCCGCGCACCGCGAGGCCGGAGGGAGCCCTGCGAATGCCGTGCCGGGGGCCTATCCCAAGGAACTGGTGCAGGCCAGAGCCGTTCCCATGGGAGCCCCGTGCAAGAACCCATCCCAACAGTGAGACCAGGCAGCCAGGGGTGCAGGGAGCTGAGCTGCAAACCAGCAAACTCATTGCACTTGTGCGCGAGCCCCAGGATGGCGATGGGGACGTTGCAGCTCCTCCCGTGTTGCAGGGAGCAGGCAAGGGACATGTGGGGAGGCCCGGCCACGTGCAGCCCCAGGACTTCTTCTGACGTGTCCCCAGCATTCCCAGCACAGCCCAGGGCTCCGGGCATGGCTCCCGGCCTCCCCTTCTCCAGCCAGACACCGGCAATGCCGTTGGCATGTGCAAGCTCTGCTGGAAGCTGCCCAGGGAGGTTCCTCTTCCTTGGGGGCTACGGGGGACTCTGCAAGTGGTGAAAAAACTGGAGAAAGCAGGAATACCAGGGAGCGTGAGGGGCAGCGTTCCCTGATGGCAATAACCACCAGGTCATTGCATCCCACTGCCTCCTCGCTGCGGCTTCCGTCCTTCCTTCCTTCCTTCCTTCCCGCTCCCCAGAGCCGCGGCCGTTCCCAGCCTGGCTGCAGCACGTGCCGGCTGCTTCCCCACGCTTCCCAGTGCGCCCACGGAGACACCCGCAGCCCCGGCCGCTTCCTGGGAGCGTGCACCAAAGGCAGGCTTATTTAGTTAGCGCCAGAGATAAGAGTGGAGCCGGCAGTGTCGCCCCCGATAAGGGATTTGCCGGGAAGCCTGAGCGGCTCCAAGACATTTCCAGTCCTGCCTGATGGCCCAGATTCCTCTCGTCTGGATTTGGAGAGCTAAAGAGAATAAACATGCCCCCGAGGGCTGCCGGCAGCCTGCAATTACTGTAATTAGAAAAGGTGGCTTAGGCCCGGCTCAGGATCTCCGTCTGTTTTATGAAAATGCAAAAAAACACCAGGAGGTCGAGCACTAATAAACGGGGGCTGATTGCGGAGCCGCGCGGCTTTGTCTCCCGCGGCTCGGCGGGGAGCGCACCTGGGTGTGCGTGTGCCCTGATGTGCATGCATGTGCACAAACGCATGCGTGTGCACATGTGTGTGCGTGCATGGGTGTGCACGCATGTGAGCATGCACACACGTGCATGCATGTGCATGCCTGGCGGGGAAGAGCCGCCGGGCAGCTGAGCAGACAGAGGCAAACCTGGAATTTCAATCTCTGACATTGTCCCCTGGAAAACAGCTCCATTTGTCTCTGCCGGTGCAACGTGGCCGCTGGAGCTGCGGATTCCTGCCCGGGCCGGCCCCACTCTCCAGCCATCGATCGCTCTCTCACGGCTGATATTTCTCACGGCAAGAATTCATCTTGTTGGCAGCTCTGTCCCGGCAGCTCCTGCTCCCCCGGGGCCCCGCGCTCTCCTTGAGCTCTGTGCCGAGGTCAGAAACCCGGGAGCAGCAGTGGGAGCAAAGCGGGGCCGGCGGAGTCTCCGCATGCCGCGTGGCCCCAGCCCGGCGCAGGTCCGCAGCGCTATCCCTGAAGACAGATGCCTGATAGCGCCCGCCAAGGACCGGGCAAGTATTTAAAAACATAAATTAAAACAAATTACATTTTTATATTGCAAATAAGGGCAGTTTTATTGCTTTTATTGCATAACAACCATTAATGAAGTGCAGTTTCAGGCACCTTAATTGCTCGGAGACTAAAGTTCATCCCCTCACTCCAAGCAGGCAGGATACTCTGCGTGTCCCCAGCAGCCTGGAAGGGAGAGCGGGTTCACGGACACACGTGGGCTGCAGGGCAGGAGAAGTGGCACGGGTGGTAGCGGGCGCAGCTCTAATGCCCCATGTACACCGCACCTTGCACACACCTGCACGCAGGTCTGTCGTGCAGGCACGCAAGCAATCCCATACAAACGTGCAACAACCTCTGCTGAAAACAGGGCATAACATGTTGGTCACTCCATTTACATGTGTATGCACAACTGTGCACATGCAGCAGATGCACAAATGTCTGGCATGCAAGAGATGCCCACAAGTGTGTGTTGCACAAGGCCAGTTACACACATGCAGCCCCCAGCTCCCTTACAAAGCACCATCACCATATGCACGCACACTAGTTGTGCCCATCACACACATACCTTAACGACTGACATATTCATACTGATACTCCATAACACATCAGGACATACCTGAATGTCACATGCACTCTGTGGCACACTCGAGGTGTGCACATCAAGCACAACAAAGTGCAGGCGTGCCACCCACACTGACACACAGCTAGACACACCAACAGACACGTGTGGTGTGTGTGCTGCACATTAACACACAAGGACACACCATCCACACTGCCCACATGTGCAACGTGCACTTGGCATGCTGAAATGTGTGTGCACCACACGTGTTGCACATTGATGCACAAGGACACATTGTGCATGTTGCACACCTGCACACACATGCACCATGCACTCTGCACACCCACACATGCATCCACCATGCCTATTGCACATTAGTGTACAAGGACACAATATGCACCTTGCCTCCCCGCACACATGTGTGCACACATTGCACATCAGTGTACAAGCATACAGGGTGTCCGTTGCACATCTGCACACACCAGCACCACGCACAGTGCACACCTGCACACACACGCACATTGCACAGGGATGCACCATGTGCACTGCACGGCTGCGCACAGGGATGCACCGCGCACATCGCACACCCGCACACTCTTGCAGGGTGCATTCACGTGCCCCCCGCACTCCCCTCTTGCACACGTGCGTGCACACAGTCCCCCCGCCCGCACGTACCGGGACCTGCATGGGCGTCCATGACCTGGGCACCCTTCATGGATGTCATTGCACTGGGACCTGCATGGATGCCTGGCACAGGGGTCTCTGCATGGGGATCCCTGCACGAGGAACCCTGTATGGGGGATCCCAGCACCGGGATCTGCATGGGGGTCCCTGTATGGGGGTCCCTGCTCCGAGGAGTCTGCATGGGGGGTCCCGGCACCGGGACCTGCGTGGGGGTCCCTGCGTGGGGGGTCCCTGCATGGGGGGGATCCTGGCACCGGGGATCCTGCACGGAGGTCCTGGCACCGGGACCTGCATGGGCGTCCATGACCTGGGCACCCTTCATGGATGTCATTGCACTGGGACCTGCATGGATGCCTGGCACAGGGGTCTCTGCATGGGGATCCCTGCACGAGGAACCCTGTATGGGGGATCCCAGCACCGGGATCTGCATTGGGGTCCTTGCACCATGGTCCCTGCACAGGGGTTCCTGCACCAAGGTCACAAATCAGGGTGCCCTGCACCAGAGTCCCTGCACTGGGATCCTGCACTGAGGGTCCCTGCACTGGGGTCCCCCGCACCAGAGCCACCTTCGCCAGGGTCTCATACCCCGAAGCTCTGCACAGGGTCCATGCCAGGGCCCTGCAACAGGAGGGAAGGTGCTTAGAACAGGGAGAGCAGTAGGAAATTGGTGGTTCCCCCTTGGAGCAGTTTCTACGGATGCCCCAGAGCTGCCTGTGCCAGCTCCCTGCATGGGGCTGCACCCTCCGCTGCAGTGGAGCTTGTGCCCGGCCCCAAGGGCACCGTGGTCACGAATCAGCACCCTGCACATTTGGGCTCACATGCATGATGTCCCCAGCCTTGGTGGCATCCCTGGCAGCTGCACTCGTGGCTTGTTCCCGTTTGATCCCATCTGCCGCTCCGGCATCATAGTGGTGCTCACCCCAGCTAATGCTGCGCCAGAAAGAAAAAGTCTTACATTAATGACTTTTGTCACCGAAGTCATTAACATAATAGGACTTCCACATCAAAATTGAATATTAATGCTACACCCGGCTGCGGAGCGAGATGGATAATTGCTCTAATACATTTTCCAGTAGGATTTTCGCGTTGCAGTCGCAATTGCATTAGCCAGCCCAATTATCAGCATCTCCGACACAACAGGACGAGCCCCCGGCCTCCCCTCTCCTCAGGATGCAGCACAGGGAGCCACAGGGCTGGCAATCCCGTCCCCAAGGAGAAACCCCCGCTGGCTCCGAGGAGAAATCCCGCTGGCTCGGCGGCCGCGGGGCCGCTCGGCCGGGCCTGGGAACGCGCGGCTGCTGGCCGCTGGCCGCGGCTCGCATTGCAGCGCGGGGTTACATATTTCAGATCCTAATCTGATTACTCACATAGCTCCCGTCACCCGGCCCGCGCGCCCGGAGCGCCGCGGCTTTCCCAACCGCCGGCCTCTTCCCGCCGCGTTTGCAAACACGACCCTTGATCGCAGATAGCCTTGCGACACGCTGCCGAGGCGTGCGGCTGTGGCGCTTGGAAAGCCGCCGGCCAGAAGGC